GGATATTTTGTGTGCGAAGTTAAGGCGGGCGAGTAATGGACGGCAGGGCGAAGGTGAGGTTCCAAATAAGGCAACGTCATTAAGCCTTGTTTGTATTACAATAACGTTATATCATTTAACGGAAGATAAACGCCAGCCATCGTGCAGCGAATTGAATGAAGATTGTCTTTCTATTTATTGTAATGTTGAGGTGTGGTAATAGAAGATGTGGTAACAGGTATTGCTTCTAATATCTGTGCATACAGGCGGATGGTGTACCTGTAAACTCGTAACAATCGCCCTTTTATCACTGCTGTTCGCGCTTCTTTCGTGCTGCAAGCTTTTTTTGGGGAAAGATACACGCCAGATTTAGGTGAGTCTAAGGTTTACAACGTGCGATTTTGTGGTTGTAAACAAAGCGTCTGAGCCACATCAATCAACAACGTCACGATGGTAATCACTATTAATCACTGTGGACGAAAAACCCCTAATAACTTCAATTCAAATTTTTATCGTTTCGTATTATGACTACTAAGAGACCAGCTCCTGTTTATATTATTATTAAAGTCAAAGCGCTAAATACATGCACTGTAAGCTAAAATAGACGCTTCGCTCGAATGACCCGTTTGCATCCTGTTGTAAGTTAACCCCAGCCGTTGTAAACCCATATTCTTTGTCGCCATAGCATCTTCGCTGGCCAGCTGGAAGAATAACTGTTCTGTACTAGTCACACGATTAGAAACGAGAAGGAACAACTGTCTACAATTAAGTTAATCTCTACGAAAATTTTACTTAAGCCAGATTTCACGTCATCACAAGATGAAAAAATCTGCTTTACAATGACTTTTGTTTGTTTGTTTGTTTGTTTTTTTAACTATTATTTGAGCTTAAAAATGTTTTGTATGTAGGTCTGTCGTAGGTATGCATCGCTCATTCGATCCCTTCGATACTAGCCTAAGCCTCCGATAAAGCGGTAGGTTCAGCATTGCAAAGTTTTACACATTTTTACGAAATATGTAGGTAGTGAGCATATTTTGTAATGAAAATGTGCATATTTGCCGATCATTCTAAACAAAAGCCACCATGTAGCCTGTTTCTATAAACTCAGTAATATAGTAAAATAAGACCAGTAATCAGTAAATAGGAAAATAAGGCCTCGGGTTTATATACGCTCAAAGACACATAATATCTCTCTAACGCTTAAGTTGTCCTTAATAGCTCTGTATTGACCCCCTCACCGTTTGCTCTCCTACATCTATACGACATGGATATATCTCGAAGTTACATTTTTTTTCTGGTGGAAAGAAACTCATGTCGTTAGGAAAACTAATTTTTATGTTTGGAATATCTAAAACTATAGACGATGACTTCAAAACAGGACGACAGTCACTATTCTACACAGCCGTTTAGGTATGACTCGTCGCTCTGCGCGCGGGTCTCAGCCGTCGATTGAACGCGTTGCTCGCATATGCTGCACGCCTGCCTGTTTATATTACTTGAAGGCCTTCGATTTATCTGTAAACTTTACTCTTCCGAAAGTAGATTCGAAAGGAAGAACGCTTTTAAAAGCCATAGCGGCAAACGTGTCTATGAAAGGAATGATTGTCGTTGAAGCATGGGTAAGAGCATATGATGAATGCGGGAGAAAACACTCATCGACATAGAACACCCCGATTTGTTTCGTTTGGCCATCGCTCGATTAGGGTACTATAATTTCGATAGCCGTGACCGTCGATGCTAACTCTTAGCTTAGCGTGAAAATTAGCTTTGAGTTCACCGAATAGGTAAACGTAAAATCAAATAAACATCCATTTTTCAATAGATTTTAAATACAGTACATACGCAGACGTTTCGCTTATTCATTCGATGCGAATTTTTTTACTAGGCAACGAGTTAAGGCAGGACTATGTGCTCCGAAGCAGAACTGTTTGTAAGAAGGTAAAACCCTTTTTACGAGGATTTAGTTCGTCATTGAAATCCCCTTTAGTTAAACCAGTGGCACACGACAAGTCGCTAGCGCAAAAACCTGTGTCGTCCCGTGTTATCTAGATTTTCGGGGAATTTTCCATTAGAAAAACCACAAACAATCAGAATCCAAATACTGTTCTTACACAATGTCGCATCACTGTTTATATAGTTGGATGTAAATGGTCACTCAGTTCAGCATTGCAGAAACTGTCGCAATCTACACACGAAGGCGACTTTAAACTTCAACTTAGCTTTACGAGCTTAGGGTCGGCCATCATTAAGTTAGCTAAATGAGCGAGTCGGTCTCTCTCTCTCTCTCTCTCTCTCTCTCTCTAGAGAAGAAAATACGCAAAATTCAAGGTCCATTGAAAGAAATTGCACTGTCTGCACCTAAAACGTTCTATAATGTTATAAGATATTATTGAATGGATATTTTTAGTATCTAAAAGCGGTAAACAGACATAGTTAATTCATCATGAAATTTGCGATTTCTCCACTTTAGGATGATTATATTTAGAGTTTGACTGGCTTAACATGTTCAAACTTAAATAAATCAGCCGAAACACTTGATTTAACAGAAATGAAAACGCAAAAAATATGGTATGATACCGTACCAGAATAAGTTTTGGACATAAGCTGCCTGATCTCCCAGATAAGATCTCTTTCATAATGCCTCGAAACAAAGTTGAGAGCGTATTACAAAAACAAAAATATCAGTGTATAGTTCTTTTTGTTCGGGTGAACAAAGTGCCAATAGTATGCCCAGTTCGTTAATACGATCCCTGTAACTAATTCAGTAATACTCATTTTTCACAAATGTTTGATTTAAAAAAAAAGAGCCACAATATTTTTATTTTGGCCGTGAAAATCGTTAGGAAAAGCTAAGTGTAATGCGTTGATCTGATGCTTGGACTTCATCTAAAGACGGCGCAGACCGTGTTATTACTTCGCATAAGATAAGCGTGACTGACCACACAGAACAGCAGGGAAGAATGATATCACAAAAAATTATTATATATAAATTGATGGGGTTGGCATGGTACACATTTTCGATTAGCTGATGCTGAGCGGTATCAAAGGCAAATCTGGTGTCTTCCATGCGGAAGAAACTTTTTAACCCTTTCGATGCGGTAGAAGCCGTAACTCAAAGTAAGGTTGCGAGGGCGGTACTAGTAAGTCCTCATCGGAATACTATCCTAGCTTAAAGAAACCGTTTCCTGACTCTCCGAACGCAAAAACACTTAATGAGTCGTATGCCGTATAGAGAAGCATCTGTTTTAAATGCCAGTGCTATTTTACCTTACATAATCACGTTAAGTTAGTGTTGTTCAGACCTTTTCTCATAATAAGTCGACGCGAGTACTAGTCAAGCCATGTACGTTCTAGAAAAAGTTAAAGAAACTCGAACTTTTGTGAACCTCAAAAGAACACTTGTGCTTCTACATTTAGAGACTCGCCTGCGCTCGATCTGAAAGCATCTGAAACTGTGAAATACCACAGGGGAATCAGAATGTCTCGTTATTTTAAGGATTTCCACACTATCATACGCTCTAGTATCTGCTACACGCGAGACTACATCGAAGGCCCGAATGGCGTGACCACCTAAACTGGCTGTGGCAATCGTTTTAGTCAGGGGCAATATTGACTTACACCGCCCCTGCCACTTTGTCTTGCTTGCTATCATTGTGTGGCCATTTCAGCCTTTTTTACTTCAGAAGGCATCTGGGTGCATCCGGACGGATCTGAAGCTACAAACAAAAAGAAGTAGCCTGCTCACCGCTGGATAGCCATAGTTTTGGTAAATTCCCTTTCGAAGCTAAACGCCTATTCACAATCACGTACGGCTGGCGAAGACGCCATACGCTGCTTGGCTTGAGCGGGCGCTTGAAGACCCAAAGGTCGCCTTTAGATGTTTGGACAAAAACCTGAGTGAGGCCAAAAATCAAATCCAATATGACTCAGTTGACTAGTTACTAAATCAATCGTTTGCTGTATCCGGAATCTTACTGAATAAGGTACACGTTCATTAGGCCTCGTTTGACAGAAATCCATTTTTGTCGAAATATAAACTACAACACAAAGAAGAATTTGCTGATCGTTGCGCGCTTCTACGTATCAGCTAGTCTAGTTTCGCAGGTAATGTATGATGTAAAAATAGGTATTTCACAGGGTCGTTCAGTATGCCCTGACAGAATTTAAGTTAGTCATAGTCGAGCGAAGGCTGACACGGTTTCGGATGTAGAACTGACTGTAAATTCATAACAAACACAGTCAGCCGAGCAGACGCTCCGTCTTATTAACGTAGCCCCAACAACAGCCGTGTACTCTGTTTTATTTTAAACGTGACGCTCATTAACTGCCCTATCTCCTGTATCTTTTCGTTTACTCGCTCCGGTGCTTATACTATAACCGCGTATAACATGTACGGGATAAAAACTCAAAGTAGACGATGCAGGAGAATTATAGGAGTGACTAGAAACCCGTCGGGCTATGCAACGCATCACGCATGAAATCAGATCGGCAAAACGTTCTGCTACTTCCGGTACCTTAAAAGCATAAACGCGTAAAAGATTTATCCACTAACTTTGCGAACTTAGAAGTTCGTTGTATTCGGCCGTCATTATCTCTGCGAAAAGCTGAGCTCGTTACAGAAGTAACGACACACCAAATTTTGCTATATCCAAACATAGTAAAAAGCTTTTTTCGATCCATTAGTCTCAACGTTGAATTTCTCATCTTTAGCGTCCAGAAGTTTGAATCCTACAAAACTGAGGTATGCACAGCTCTCCTAGATGATTCCATTGGAAAGTTTGTAAAGTAACTGTTGACTTCACTTGACGTCTCCTAAATGGTCGAATTTCTACTTTGCTAGTCCTCTCACAAAAGGTCTCTCCTAGCCAGCTCGAGCGCAGAATTGCCAACAGGGTATCGTTAAGTAAAGGATTGCTTCGTAGCGGTTCACGTTTACTGACATTCCCCAGCGTCAACAACTAGAATAGTGGAAAAAAGCTTGTATAAACAATGTTTTAATTGCATAAATATGTTTCTGCAGATTGAAAACCGTGACTACGGGTCCGTCTACTGTCACGGAATGCGCCGTAAACTTCTTTAAACCATCTGTTGTTTTGTCTATACTGATGTACAACATGTGTACCTGGCATTTGTGTTATATGCGTGCGTGTCTGGTAATTTGTTTGGTGGATTATCACAGCTTGAGCAAAAAAAATTGCCAACAAGGTGTCGACGAATGAAGTATTACTTCGACAATGCCTTTCCACAGAAGGACTATTAAAAATTAGTGGCTCACAGAGACTGTCGGTGCGGATGTCAACAACGACGCCATCAAGCGTTCGTTTCGCAAGCTACTTAGAAATAAACCAATTAAGGTAAGGTGGCTTTGATTAAATTACGTAATACTCAAAGAGCAAATGGCCGATAAGCTTAGAAACTAAATAACATATCTTGCTACAGTTCCTGAAAATAATAGGTCTGCATGACATTACACGAAAGGGAATCTTTGAACAAGTTACGCAGTAATGTTCTCATAGACAAAAAATTATTACGTCTCTCATATTGACCCAGCTTAAGTTTAATAGATGGTTATATTGTCAATTGATTGATGCGACCATTACATCTACAGAAGGATAATAACTTCGATTCATCCAAATGGCCACTACGCTTAAAATGGTTAAGGTTATTGTAAGTTGAAGGAACTCGGAACAGATCCGAGTAATCAGAGCATTGTTTGCGATACACAAATGCAACTCGTGGCTTCCGTTCGGTAATGGATATTACTAACGGCTCTAAAGCAAGCGACAGGATGATGTGCCCAGATGGTACTACAAAGTCAATTAATTTTACAGATCAGGGCAGCTATCGATGCGAATGACAACTAGTGAATCAGCCATAATGAGCGAATTGGGTTGCTTGCTAAACGTACCAGACGAGCGAAACGACCGCTGGCAATCTTTCAATCACCTAATAATATGCTCTGGTCCGAGATAAAAACTCTGCCAGCTGGTCGCGTTCTTCGGAACTATGCGTCCGTGAGTAAGCTGAACGCCAAAGATGCATGGTTGCGCAACAGGGAAAAAAGCGTGAGTGGAAACACGTCTCTCTCCATTTTTCTTCCTTACTTTTGTCAAATCGATCAAAGCTTAGAAATGCCGCAAACATCAAATAACGATTATTTTCAGCTTATCTATTTATCGCCGAGCTTTACGAGTGTATACGAGATAGTTCGACAGTTATTTTGTCCTCTTCCCCAAGTGGGTTTCAAGAAAAAAGACATAGCTAAATGCAAAATTAATTGTTTTGTCCTGGTACGTTCTTGTCTGCCTAGCTGTCAACCATTTGGCGCTACAGCTTATCTGGACTGCTCGGTAAAGAAGACAACAGATGATCCCGGTTTGTCATGGAACGTGTCTTAACAGCCTGATGGTTAACCTATAGCCGATATGAAAAACGCTGAACTTAGCGATTTAGTTGGTCACTTAACTTAGCTATTCAAAAAAACTGTCAGAGGTTTCCTAGATTAAGTTTTCTAGTCTTCATGTACGTTTCTTGAAGTTCTCAGCATTCAGGCAGTCCAATATGTGCTCATTCCAAGCTCTGAATCGTCTGATGATATCGACGCTCGCTGATTCGTCCCTGTTTTCACAGTATCTCATCTCTCGAACGAATGCGGTCAATGGCATGTAAGACTGACATTACGGGTCACGGCGACGCGTTTGCTGTCATTATCAACGACGTCAGCTTCTGTGCGTTTTATAGAGGAAGGATTACCGAGCACTGATATTCTGGGGTGTTATTACCGGTGGCGATGAAAACTTAGGAACACATCTCAACTGATAATAGGTAACGACTGAAATTACGATAACCGCGGACATCTGCCAGATTAGAAGGAGACCGTGGCAGCGTGCTAGTAGAAATGAGAAATGCATTTAACTTCGCGATATAGGAATGTACGCATGAAGAGAAACGCGAAACGGAAAATAACACAGGTAACGGTTCCGGAAATAAAATACTGGAAGGCTTTTATCAGAACTCGATTTTCGAAAATAACGAAATACAAAAAAAACGTGTATCGCCGTACTGTAGACTTTAGGAATAAATTACAGACACAAGATAAATGTTTCACTTTTCTACTAATATTGGTAAACACGACATTTTGTTTTGTTCTTCCTATGGCGCTATGATCCCCCAAGATGTCACTGACAACGTTTACAGGAAGCAATTTTATAATAACTGCGCAAACTTTCATTTATTTCATACTAATTTTGAATTTAAATAATCTAAAATAGGCTTTCAAATAAATAAATATTAAAAGAATCATGAGGAAGAAAAAAAAATCCTAAATATTAAAAGGAATATAAAAGTGTACCAGTCAAGCGGTATTGTCTGTCAGATATATTCTCCAATATTCTAGGTGACTTAATTAGCTACATTTTCAAGTATATGCTTAAGATGTAGCAACAGATAAGTTTTCTATGCTAACATTGATCGAATACTACGCTCATACGTACGTCAGTGAATGTTACAAAGAGTAAAGTGTCCATTGTATTGACTTCTTTCAGTTCGCGCATTCAGTGACTTTTGGCAATGATGATCCGTTTTTGATCACGTCTCTACCGAAACGATCATTTTCATCATATATTTTGCTATTGGGCGCATCTAGCTAGTAATGCCAAAGTTATCGTAAGTTCCTAGACATAATTCTTGTATTTGTAACAATTAGTGATTTTCAATACGTCTTCTGTTGTACAGGATAAATTCTTACGAGCAACAAGCCACGAAAACTTTTAATAACGTTGTTGATAACACAGTAGCGTCATAAGAAAAAAAACAATACGCTCTGCACGACGAGAAGTTCGCGTCAGCTGGAAGACTACGATATTGCAGCTGGTGTTTTACGCATAAAGAATGTTATGAATATATAAAGGCGCGTTATTGGCTGGAAGAAAACCACGGCGCGTCCAATACATCCAGATGACCACAGAAAGCAGGCAGACTATAAGCGATTCTCGGCAGCGATCCAAGTCGATCTTGATGGGCTTTCCGTTTTGCACGTGGTACGCATCTTGTGCGTATGTCCCAATGTGACAAAAAACGCGCAAGATAAAGCGTGATCTTAATGTTTTATTCGAAATTGATTTTTCGAAGCAATTCCCCGTTCGCTGTACCTCTTATTTTTGATTATTCGTGTCCTAATTTATCCCAATGATTTACCTCGAAAATGTTCTACTGTCATGCTTCTCGAGTTCTACACATGAAAGTCACACTAAAAAATTGATTTGGGTGGAAAAATCGTAGCTTCTGTCGTTCTCATATAGGATTTGCCGTGTAAATGCAGAGAAAAATTGTCAAGATTGAAATCGAATTATATATCTTACAGCTACCTCCTGGCTTTTTTTTTTATCCATAATATACGCGTCTAAAATTGAATACCTATCTCTTATCCTGAAAACTGTTTCGTAAAGTAGTTGCCTTACTTAGTTTTTAAGGAGCAACTTCTTTCTCTTATAATTCAGTGTTATATTGGATAAGTTATGATTATTTTTAGAATTTTAATTTTAGGACGATTGATAATTTTTGAAAGGTTTTTCATATAAAGATGTTCGTTTTTCTATACTCTTTGAAATTAAGTGCAAAATAAAAATGCAGTCTTTCTGATTTTTGCCATCGAAGGGTAACATAATGGTTTATACGAAAATTGTTGTGAATTTATCAGATCTATATTAAGCTAAAGCTGGCAGACGGATTATGTGTAATGAAAAAACGAGAGGTCTATGGTAGCACATCGATATTATGATAAGAACGTTACAGCGTAAAGCCGGACTAACGATATCCGAGTGAAGAATTTGGCTTACGCACAACTGGGGGTGCACTACAAGGCCAGGGATTAACTCTACGTATAGAGTAAAATTCGTTTAAGCTTATATTGACATTTCTAAATCCAGAACAGTTATCTCTCAAGGTAGTAAGGCCCGTGCTCTGTGGTAGTGGCCTAAATGCAAAGAGAAGACGGGCTCCTGTAAACGATTCGTGGGATAAGATGGTAAACTCATTGTTCCATGGGCTCGGATAAATAGAAAAATAGATTGGCTACGTTATAAAAAATAATTATTGTCGCTCTACAGCTGCAACAGGATAGTGGATTCGATGCAGCAAGATTCCGAAAAAGTCTAGAAGTGCAGTCCGATCTCCATGGAAAAAGAGGTACATACTTTTACAGTATACTTAGGTCTGAAACCGTACCATAGCTGATATTAGATTGCGAATTATTATTAATCAAATTAGATAGGTAAAGTCGATGGGGTAATGTAGCATTGCAAAAACACTATCGTTCCTATGGTAAAATAGGATAGATAAGGCAGGGCGTCTGCAACGTGGGCAGATGTGACATGGGCAGATCAGATTAGCTGAACTAATCAGCGGTAGAACAAATATGGGGTTATATTCTATTATTGATATTCATAGAACTATTACTTTACGTACAGGCAGCTCCAACTGGGGTGCATCGTAGTTTATAAAATGGGTCCTAAAGATGCCTGTTACTAAAATCCAGGCTCATTATCCTTTCAGTGACGTGGATTTGCTCACTGTACGTTCGAACGTCATGGTTAATTAATATACTAGTTTTTTGCTCATGCTTGTTATACCGCTGTAGTAATTATCCATCGATAGAATACTGTCCGTCTGCAGGTTTATTGTTGTCAAAATCATTACCTTCTCTTTGTCGTATACAAAAGTTCTAAGTTACCTCTAGGTTAATGAAATGATTTTTAGACATAAGATATTGATCTTATAAGAGGAAGCCTATGCATGGCTGCGTTAAGCATTTGGAACTATTTTTGATTTATGAACTCAAGACATCTAAAGATGTTTGGTAAAACATACGAAATAACAATTCCATAATAAATATCAGTTATTTCATCATTAAGAGCAGAACAAAATATTCGTGAGAACTTTCGGACCATGGTGTCGGTTATTACTTTAAGCCATTTAATTTACATCAGGAAAACACCAAATTCGATACTGGGCAATCGCCGGTAACAGAGGCTTTTCCCAGGGAAAGGGGTCATAGGTTGTGATTATAGATATTAGTAATAATGTTGATTCAATACTTGTATGATAATATGCACCATGATGATCATCATGTATGCAAGCGGCTCGTCGGTACGACTAACTACGTGCGGACTTTCGTGGGATAGCAAAAGGTAAAATGCTATGGGTATTGAAAGCGTTAAAAACATCCTCCTTAGCAGAGTTCTGTATGGCGGGAGTTGAGTTCGAAGTGACGGGCTGTAGTTCATCGTTAGGACGATCCGCGTCTTTGTACATCTTTCGTCTGCTAGATCTTGTTGAGGACGATCTGAGGCTCCCGCAGAACGCCGCACCAGGCAGAAATACCGAAGCCCTTCTTGCGACGCTCCCTTTTTAATTTCTGGTTATGATGATGACACCGCTCTGTATTATAGTGATAAATCTAAAAAAAAAAGCAGGGCGCTTGTGTTAATTTATGCACCCATGCACACCGTGTTACTGGGTGATTGCGGAGGGATTCTATTTGACGTTCTCATATATATATATATATATATATATATATATATATATATATATATATATATATATCATTTATTTTTATACTAAGCTGTATAATAAAAAAATCACTCAGAAATATCAATCAATCCGATGGTGTATTTAAGTACTATAACTGACAAATTACTTACAATACCCGACAAATAACTCGTTTACTTTCTAGCTGTGTCATTAGTTAGGAAAGCAAGTTTTTTTTATAATGCAGCTGAATGTGCCAATTCCATAAAATCTTTCAATGACTGATAAAGAAACGTAGTAAATTGTCATACCCTATACCTTAATATACTTCTTGATTATTTTGGGATACTCAGATTAAGAGCAACGTCCTATAAATTTTTACGATTCTAGGGTCTTGTTGGCGCCTATTTGAGTACAAAACCCTGTACACATCCCATGGATGCAGTTTTTGTCGAGACCAAGAAAAACAAACGGGAAAATGATCACCCGTTATGCTGTTGAACGGTCTTTCATGTATCCGCTAGGGCCGGCGCAAACTTAGGATTGCTGTCAAATGAAAAACGTGGTCTTTAGCGAGAAAGGTAAAGCTGAGTTGACAGGTGGACAAAAAGTGGGTGCCCCCTTCAATCTGCGCCTGTTCGAACTGTTGATGGGAAACAGTTCTGTTTTTAATTGAACCCCGTTTACCCTAACTAAACTTACGTTTAACTTTATTATAAGTATATTATTGTGCATGTCTAATATTTAATAACGTAATGCAATAGGTAAATCATTTTAGATTCAAGACGATCTTACAAGATCGATGAACCATAAATATTTTCTAGTCTTTCTTAGTGTTTTTTTGGTTTTCTTGCTTTTTAGCGTTATTAGAAGGTTTGACATAACTGCTTTGTTTTCTTGTTAACTTCTCCGGTGTTGCAGAAGATGTCCTCGAAATAAAAAGGAGAATGCCAACGTCGAAACTTAAACTCAGTGGTGTCCAACTTTAACTTAAAACTGTATATACATACATACAAATGTAATAATTTAGAATTACTTTAAACAAACTTATGTAGACGCCTCAACATTTCCAAGGCTTCGAGGGTAATATCCTGAATACACAGCTAAAGCCTCAACTTTTTTTTATTGGTCATAGATTCTTGTTAATTAGCAACACCCCATCAGCGCTAATAATTATGGTTTCATCATACACTACAGAGCAAAGATTAGTCGAAGTAAACAAAAGGCTCTATACCATCAATGTCAACCTGTAAATAATATATATCTATATATAGAGCCCAGTTATATTTATTATGTATGAACACTTTCATATGGTATGTTAAGTGACTTTACCCATTGTTTGTTAACGGCATGGACAACATTTATTTCCTTCGTTTCGCTATATTGCTACACAGTTTTCATATCACATGTTAAAATTATTTAACCTCGTCGTTTAACTTACCGCTAAATGATCGAAAAACACTATAGGATATCATTGACCCAACGACGTTTACTTGGTTCAAGGGTCGGGGCAATACAATCCTGTTGGAAATAACCCTTCAAGAAATAATATATATATATGCACATGATTGAAAGGTAAGTCAATATTCTTTCTTGATAATGAGACGTCGCTGATCGGTTGTCGGATACGCTGAAGCTGACAAGGAACGGTATGAAGGGGGCCGGATCGAAAGCTTTGGTTTGACTGATTCCTGCGTATGTAAGTTCTCACACAATGCGTTTAAGCCAATTATGTCTCTCTTTATTACTAATGGAAATCACTAAGGTGTCTCATGCTAAAACCAAGACGACAATGTGTTGAGCATACAGGCTTATACGTCATCTATATGAGCTTGCATAGCTTCATCATTAGGTGCTCAAAAATGTCACACTTTACGTAAGCTAAACTGACTTAATCCCATTGTTATTAGGTGAGAAGTGTGGTATCATGGATCCTATATTATGGGTACAGATGAACAATATTAGCCATGACGCTTAATGAAATGGTTACGTTGGATCATGTCACGGAATACTGATCATTACTAGGTAACCCGAACTGCAAGCATCTTTCAACAGAGCTGTCAATCTATTCAGCATCATCCTATTGACTATAGGTATCGCTTAGCATTCATGGCTTACTGCGTGAAGCTATTGGTGTAACCCTTTAACGGGGTCTGTAAAAAGTGCCAAGCAAGTGGGTATTTACACGACAGCAATCCTGTAAGTGGGCATTAGCCAAGTCAACCTGACACGGCTCCCAAACAAAACAGGACACAGGGCGGCATGGTCTGCTTCGAGCGCATTGCCATGTTAACTATAATTAACGTATACACTACTGAGATGGTTCAATTCTCAGCGTCCATATGTTAATAATCACGAAAACTAGGAACGAAGAGAAAATAAAAAGTTGAAAAATAACGTTAACAGCGGCGCGTATGGTAGCAGCTTTGAATAAGTTCAGCTAGACCCACTCCAGTTAGGCCCTCAGCACTGGTAAGCTTTAATACCTAAAAGTAAGTGACCCAGATGACTTGTTCCCATCAAAATGACAACCAACAAAATAAATCAACAATAAAAAATTTAAGCTTAGGCTCATAAGTGATCTGTAAGTTTCTCGTGAGTAGATGCATTCAATCCTACGTTGTAATAATACAATCTACCTATAAATGGTAGATAGAGCATCGAATCGTCCAAGAACGGTGTTCCGAAAACCAGGAAGTGCTCAGTCAAAATACACCTGAGCCGTATTGGAATGACGCGATCGCAACGGAATAAAAACTAACGTAAGGCGGGAACTCAACTACACGTGGAGTAGCTTTCACGGGAAAGGTCAGGTCGCCTCACTAGAATTTGTGAAGAAGCATCTGTAAATTTGCAGGTTAGGCGAAAATCACTTGATTAGGTTAGTATCTCTAACACACGTACGATAATGAAGTCTGTCGCTTTTGCAAACGTTTTCACAGCAACACGGATGAATTTGTGCGCGGAATTTCTCGTACACGGGACTACTTGCTAAAGACCTATATCCCAAAAAGGACTCGACCTGACAAAATGTCAAGAAGGTATGGCGGATGAAGTGTCGCCGCCTCGGAGCAGTGCGCTCAAAAACATTAGAAGCCAGGTTTTTAGCCTCACGTTATGTTGGCGCTGTCCGATTGTGAGGTGCATGTGTCAACCGAGGGTCTTCGTTAGGATGCCATTCTCACGGCAGCTGTAACGGTAAGCCAGAAAGGGTATTTTCATTGGTCCCAGTAGTAAGCTTGCTTCGAAAATATTGGATGGTTGTGAGGGATACGCTTTATCGCTTCGGCTCACGGGGTTACGTCCGGCGCTTTTGCGGCAAGCCGAACCACTGGTGTTTTCAAATCTTCATCTCATCCAAGTGATTCTAAAGCATCATTAAATTAAGGCGCGATACTGCCCAGAAAGAAGAGCCCGCTTCCTAAGTTCCGGAACACCACTGTAGTGATGGAGTTTGCGCGAACTATATATATATCAACTCAGATAAGCCATTTTGAACGTTCGTAATGCAGCCGCCAACTAGCAGTTGGAGACAAGCAAGGACTCTGCTTGTCTTTCAGAAACGCAGAATACAAAAGTGAACGAGTTACCTAAGAAATTCGCAGTAGCCCCTTTGTCAATCACAAACAATCAAGTACAGCTGCCAGAACGGCTTGGATCGTTAATCCGACTTTGCCGAGGTATTGATTACCAAAATTTGTGGTCAAAAAAGTCACTTCCGAACTGAGATAGGGATGCAGTCGTCGCACCGCAGAAGAGGCGGTGGTCAAGGGACGAGGGCATC